GGTGGTTGGCATAGTGTGCCTGGAACTGGTTCTGGGGCTGGCATGGCATGCGGTACTGGGGATTGAACCCAGGTCCTTGCGCTTGCCAGGCAGGTGCTTAGACCACTGAGCTATCTCCCCAGCCCTAAATGTTTGTATATATGTGTATGTGTGTGTGTGTTTTTAAGGATAGAAATGATTGTAATCTTTTTTTCTAGGTGCATGCATTCGTGTTTATGCCATGATGTGTTCCATTAAGTTTTTAATGGGAAGCTATAAGGGAGGGCTCAGAAGTCTTGGGTAGGATGTATAGTTTGAAGTGGCAGACTACTCAGTCAGCTATGATTTAACCAACTGCTTGTTATTTTCCTTACCTAACAAGAATGTCAGAGGCAGATAGAGGCTGGGATGGTTCAGCAGCTCACTAGTGGCTTCCACTTCTACCATGCTCATCATGCTAGTTTTGGTCTTTACATTTTCAGTTGTGACAGAAATTGGCTTTACTAAAAAGGAAAAAAAAGTGGAGCTAAGCTGTGAGGAGGGTAAACTCTTGGATCCAGAGACTGTGATGCTTTCAGGACCCTTTCATTTCCTGTCTCTGTCCTGGAGTTGGCCTCATTTGTTGCACTTGTGTGCTGTACTACCTTTTCCACATAAGGAGTGCAGGAGTGCCATCACGTTGCCTGCAGTTGTAGGGTACTGCCTGCATGCAAGGCCGAGAAAGAGAGTGGTGGCAAGATGTCATAATAGCTGTGACCACCTGGCAAGGGTTCTCCTAGAAACTCTTCTTGGAGGATTCCACTGAAGTCCCATTGGCTGGAGCTATCATGTAGGCATTTAGAGCTAGAAGGAGGTGGAAGGAGCAGAACTCTGATTGCCTTAGGCCAGTCATCCTCTATCACCTGGAATGACAAGATGGCAGAAATAGCCTTCTATATTAAGATAGGAGAGGATGTGGAAAGAGGACTTAGGTCCTTGGCTTTGTCACTTTCTAATCCATAAACTCTGATACAACACTACAGCTGCCAACCTGCCAGTCTTAAGGAGTATGTCTGTTATTTTCTTCCTTTAATGGTATTTTTCTTAAGAAAAAAGAACTAGGGGCCGGGGAGATGGCTCAGTGGAATAGGCGCTTCCCTGGCAAGCACAAGGGCCTGAGTTCAATCCCCAGTTCCGCCAAAAAAAAAAAAAAAGAACTTATAAAAGTTCCACTCTACTGATATTTAATTTATAAATGTTGCTTTTCACATACTAGTAGACCTTAGAGTTATTTTTTTTTCTTTGCAGAAAGGAATGGTTAGGATGCAATTTTGATACTTTGCATTTTTAATCAATAGGCAGCAGCCTTGGGGACAAAAATTATTGATGAAGATGGCCTGTTGAATCTGATCCGAACTATGCCAGGCAAGAAGTCTAAGTATGAAATAGCAGTTGAAGCTGAGGTTTGTATAAAATGAACTTGATTTGTGTGAATTGGTACACAGCAACTTTCCCATGTCATGGAGCCATAGATTGGGTGTGTGCAGCTCCATTGGCCAGAAGATTAACTACTCCTTCTGTACAGATTATCTTCCCTTATTTCCCTTTGACTGGAAGGCTTTGCTTTAGGTTGTCGTCTTTGTTGTTTCCTTGCCTTTCACAAAGCAGTAGTGAGGGC